GCTCGCTCCGCCTGGTTTCCTCTCTCGTTTTTTCTAGGCCTCTGCTTAATGTAACCTCCTAGGAGAAGCCTTCCCTGACCTCTCCTTCTTGAAATATTACCCCTCCCTGTAATCCTCTGTTCTGACTCTGTGCTATTTTCCTTCCAGGCCCCTACCATAAGTATCAATTTACCGATAGGTATGTTAACTAGCCTGAACTGCCATGAGTGCAGGACTTTGCTTTGTTTGCTGCTGTATCCCCAGGACCTAGAAGAGTGCTTGAGTGTCTGGGTGCTTGTTTTAAGTATCTGTTAAATGGGTACATGCATTACTCCAGCAAGGATCTCCCAGAGTTTTTAGAACAAACTCTTCTTACCCTATCCTCTGTGGACCCCCAACCTATCTTCCAAGTCAGAACAGGCAGTGGAGTTTAGGGACACTAACAGAGTCTCAGGATGGATAGATCTTAAATTCCTCCTCTCCCACCCCTTCCCTACCTTCGAGTCTCCGTCATTCTGTGTCCTCCTCCTAGAACCCCTCCCCTCTTGTCTGGTTATTGGAACCTATTGTTTCCAAGGCTGATTCCCAGACAAAGCCTCCTTCAGGAACCTCCTCTGCCAGTCCTTAGCTGGTTTATATCCCTCCCAGTTGGCTTCTAGATTTTGAATCCTTTGAATGTCTCACCTCCCCAGGAAGTATGGGGGACTTCCATCCACCCCACTGTGGGGCGGCATGATCACAGATGGGAAGGAGGGAGGCAGCAAAACCAAGTTTCAACACTGAGAGAGGGGGTTGGGGACAGGATTAGCAGCAGCCTTGTAGCCTCCCAAACTTAGTTAGTCCCAGAAATGTGGAGCTGGAAAATGTCAGATTCAACTCTGATTTATCATTCAACCCTTTTCTACTGGGTGGACCCATTCCTGAACCACACCCTCCAACAGCCCAGGGTCTTAAGGAAGGAGTGGGGGCCTATGGGGAACAGACAGAGAAAAAGTACAACCTTTCTTCCTGTCCTCCCCCTTCCCACCCTTCTCCTGCAGGGTGACAAGACATTTAATTATAGATATTTGGTACTGCTCAGAATTCCAAATGTCCTAATCACCTCCCCTCCCCGAACCAGTTTCCCGTGGAAAAAAAAATCACAGCAAAGAGGCAAGGAAGGGAAGGAGAGAACCCCCATTCCGTGGTTTCCCTGCCAAAGGGAGACAGAGATAGAAGAGAGGTGTAGCCTAGGCCTTCCTCAGCATGGCAGGGAGCTGGAGAGGGAGACTTAAGAGTTGTGGCTGCTGTGGGTAGGGAGTAGAGGGACAAGAACAGGGTTCTAGTGCTTGGTTGGACCTGCCTCTACCCTGCCTTGCTGTGTGACTTTAGACTCAGCATTCTCCCTTTCTGGGTCACGAAAGTTCTTCCCCCTTCAAGCCCAGACCTTGGTGAATTAAACAACCATTATAAAGCTGTGGAAGGGGCTCTGATAGTGTAGTGGTTATGAACTGGGCTGCGAACCTCAGAGTCAGCAGTTTGAAACTACCAGCTGTTCCGCAGGAGAAAGATGAGGCTTTCTGCTCCTGTAAAGATTTACAGTCTCGGAAACCCTATACAGGGTTGCTATGGGTCAGAACCGACGCCACGGCACATAACAACATAACATAAAGCTGTGGACTCCTGGTGTGGTGCTGTAGGATTAGTAGTGGACGGCAAAGCACAAGGTTGGTAGTTCAAACCCATTAGCTGCTCCTCGGAAACCCTATACAGGGTGGCTATGAGTTGGAACCAACTCGACGGTACTTAACAACAACAACAACAACAAAAGGTGCTCAGGCTGTTGGGAGTTAACAGATATGTTCCCAGGGGTCCCTCGATCTGTCCCCCCAACTCAGAAGGTAGGCCAGCTGCACTGAGAAACAGGGGCTGCTTGGGCCTCTTCACCATTACGACACTGACATTCTAGGGTTCAGTGTGAATCCAGCAGTCTGAGAATCTAAGAATTCGGCACTGTAAGATTCCCACAGCTCTCACACTCAAAGAACAAAACATTCAGAGTGCCTGGCACATTGTAAGCAGTCAAAAAAATGTTAGTCATTGGCATTGCTATTCCAATATGCTAAAGTTCTGTGAGTGTGTCCATTTATGATTCTGAGGGACAAGCCGCTTCTTATTTCTAGACTAAAGTTGTCACATCTCTCAAATGGGTATAAGATTCCTGAGACCACAAGGCTCTCTTTAAGTCTGGGGTGGAGTCGGGAGCCGCGGGTCATCCAGGCTATAGGAGCCCTAAGTAGAAATGACAGGGGAGCAGGGAGGCTCAGATGACCTTCATCTCCTCACCCTTCTGCACAAATGCAAGCAAGTGCTCACAAAATAAACAAGCCATGAGCTACCCAGCATTCCCTGGGCTTCTGGCTTCTTACAGCTGTTGGCATAGAGTTTTCTTTCTTCTCTAGCCACACCCCTGACTCCTCTTATTTTCCTTGACCACCCTGCAGGCTGCGTCAGGTCCTTCCTACAGAGACCCTGCAGTCTAACCAAAGAAAGGACGCTGGCTGTCTAGGTCTCAGAGGGAATTGGGACTGACAATAGGCTAATACCACATGGGGAGTGAACATGGGCTAGTTGAAACCAGAGTTTGAGTGACTCCCCACAACTCAGAAGTAGGCCAGGAGTCCCTTCAAGCCCACAGGCCTCTACTTATCAGCCCCTGGCTAGGTTCACATGCGTTTCTGCCCCATCAGCAAAGTCTGACAGCCTCTTTTCTTCCCTTCTGAACTGTGGAGCCCTCACCATGCCATCTCCACCCACAGCCCAGGGAGCGTGACTGGAACCCTAGATCCGAAACAAGGGAACATTGTATCCTCAATAGAGGCCAGCAAGAGGGGGCGAACAGCTGCTCCCTATCCCCAAGAGCCAGAAGGAAGGGGATGGCAGGAGGAAGCCAGGCTAGCAGATGGGAGAACTTCCAAGCTTTATGAGTGGGTGGGAAATCAGGGGATGGGGAAAAGAAGGTGGAGCCAAGTCTTTCTTTCCCTGGTCACTGAGAAACAGCTGGAGCAGTGGAGTCCACTTTTATCCCCTCTTTTGCCCCCCCCCACTCTTCCTTCAAGAGCCTGCCAAGCAGTGACCATACATACACCCCCATTTTACAGAAGAGAAAACTGAGGCACAGAGCAGTGATGAGACTGACCCTAGGTCATACAGGTTTGAGCAGAAACTCAAACCCTGCTCTTCTCATTACAGGCATCCCAATTCTACCCTGAAGGGATAATAAGGGCTGTGGAGCAGTACCTGAAAGGAGAACTGAAGTGGGCAAAGGCTAGGAGGCCAGAAAAGGCCTCTGTTCATGGCTGAGTGGGGCCAGTGTTCTGGACAGGTATGTCCCATGAGGGTGGGGGTGAGGCTAAGCTTCTCCCTGGGGGCAGAGGGCAGGACAGGGGATACAGTGAAGAATAACTTCATGTTCTACACAAACTTTCGCCTCTTCCCTGCGTCTCAATGCGTCTTCCCTAGGAACTTTGGTTTACCCCTAGTTGAGTCTTTGGGGTTCCCAGTGGCCTTATTTATAGGGGGGAAGTTGGGGAGGGGTTGCCCCTGCTCTCACCCTCCCCTCTGTGGCTCCCTGAACCTGTCTTCCAAGACAGAATAGGCAGTAGAGTTTAGGGACACTAACAGGATCTCAGAAGGTTGGATAGATGCAAAATTCCTCCTCTCCCACCCCTGCCCATCGACTCCCTCTGCTATGGCTTCCGTGGGAGACAGCAAAGCCAGGACCAGGGGAAACAGAAACAAGGAGTGAGAAAGAAAGAAGGACAGAGAGTTCAGAGGGTCCGTGAGAGCACTGGGAACGGGAGTGACCACATCAGTCCAGGCTTTAGGGTTCCCTGGCTCCTCACAAAGTAGTGAATACAGTAACGTGCAAACAGTAGTAGAGCTCTCAAGGCCATCTTCCCTAGGCTCAGCCCCAAACCCAGAGCCTAGCAGCTCATCTCACACCTGGGGCCCAGACACCATGCTGCCTAGAAGCCTTCTGAACTGATAGCCCAGACTCTGAGGATGGTGGGGGCCTTAGGGACATTTTGGGATCTAGAGGCCTACAGAGGGCGGGGAAGCATCTCAGTGTCAGCAAGAAAGAAGATGCAAGTAGGCAGAGCTGTGAGAGAGCAGAGCCCCACACTCACCATTAGAAGCAGCCCTACCTAAGACCAAATTCACCCCAACCGCTCCAAAGCTCCATCAGCCTCAGCAACCTCCGGCCTTCCCCTGGAAGACCCCATTCTAATCGGAAAAGACTGTCAGGCCTCAGTCCCTAAGCGTTGGAGCACAAAGATTTTCCCCAACTGTATGCAGTACCAGCTGGATAGAAACATCAGAACCACCTTGTTTACAAGCCTGGAGTTTTAGAGATGGAGAAACTGAGTAACGGAAAATCCAGGAGCTCCTCAATGACACAGCAAGTCACTGACAGAGCTGGGGTTAGAACCCTGAACTCCTTTGGCTAGTAGGTAAAGTAACACCCCAGACCTCCCCAATTCTCAGTGCCCAAGAACAGACCCTGAATCTGCCCTGCCACACAAAGGTCACATGAACAAGGGTAAACCCATGTCAACTCTGGGCCTCAGAACACAGACATCCCACAAACATTCTGATCAGTAGGTTAGCAAGGCCGGCGGGGAGAAAGGAGCCTTATTTAGTGGGGTCCTGCCAGACAGGAATTTCTAAGAACCAGTCAGTCCCTGAGAAAATACCTAAAGGACTAGATAAAAAACCTTTGTAATTATCACCCAGAAAACCTTGGTATAGACAAGACCTTCCGATATTAGCACCAGAAGCCTGAAGTCTTGCGGGGGCCTTAAGCAGACAGGGGTCTATGTCATTAACACTCTTAAAAAACTGCCTGGGCACTTCCAGGACCAGGTAAGTGCCCTCAGACCTGGCACCTGCCCAATGAGCGCACTCAAAGTTAGCATGTGCAGACTTTTCTTGGTTCCTCCCCTCCCCCTCCCACTGAAGGCCCCTCACAAAGGACTCACCACTTGTGGTTTGCTGAAGCATTTGCTGGCTGGGGCAGGCTCATGTGGAGCCCGGGCAGGCTCAGGGGGCTTGGTCTCAGCAGAGGGCGGTACAATCGGAGCCAAGGAGGGCACGTCCACAGGCACTGGGGCAGGGGCCTCACCAGAATGGAGGGTTAGCATATACTGTTTGGTGACATCCTCAAGTGAGGGTGCCTGCAATGTGGGGTGAATTGGTGCAGGGAAGCCCATGGGCTCAGGCACAGCCACAGGGGGGCCAACAGAGGTAGGCAGCTCTGGCACCACAATTGGTGTGAATGTGGCAGGCACACTAGCATGGCGAACATGTTTGGAGGAGGATCGGGCCCGAGACAAGCTGCTAGCCTGGTCTAGATTGCCCTCCTCTCTCCGAAATTCTTGGTGACTGCTCCGGGCCGGGCGTTTCTTGGTACCTCGGTGGATGAGCCGTGAGGACAGAATGTCAGTTAGCTTAGGGTCAAGGTGGAAGTCACAGTGGGCAGTGGATGAGGCAGGTGAGGCCTCAGGTAGGGCCCTCTCAGACTGTGTACGGCCCCTAACAGGACTGGGCTCTTGGGGCTCTACCCGTTGCTCTGCAAGGATGGGCTCACTGCTGGATGGAAGCAGTGTGGGTTCGACCTCTCGGATGGGCTCCCCTCCAGGGCCCTCAAATCCAGGCCCAGCCAGCTCCCCGCGGCGGCTAGGGTCGCTCAGAGATTTCTTCTTGGGGGCTTTGCCAGCAGTCCTGTCGTCCAACACACGCCCAAAGGCACCAGGCCCCTGAACAATGCTCTGAATAACATCCTGGTATCCCTTGCTCTCTTCACTGCCCATAGACCAGTCACTATGGCCACTGGTCAGGCCCTCATCCACAGTTGGGGCTGCTGGAAGCCCTGATTTGGGGCTCAGTGAGCCCAAGAGGTTGCTGTCCACAGAGAACCCAGAAGGCTCCTCAGAGGTGGTAGTCCGGTGGCGCTGCGGAATTGGGTCACTCAGAGACCTATAGGCCTCACTTGCCTCCCCATTGCTCAGTTCAGTCCCACCAGGGCCTGATGGTGGCACTTTGCGACGCCGGCGGAGAGTACCTGGTGTGGGAGGGGTCTCGGGGGAAACACGGGACCACCCACCCAGACTGTCCTCTGCCCCAGAACCATGGTGGTTAGCCTGGGCAGAGGATGAGGGAAGGGGTCGCCACACCCCTGTAGAACCCAGGCTGCAAAAGGCTGAAACAGGAGGTTCAGGGTCTGCCCCAATTCCCTCATCTGTCAGACTGGACTCAGGGCCGGAGAGCTCCTCCTGAGACCGCTGCCCCCCAGTCATGTCTCCTGCCCAGTCAGGGCTCCTAGGAGGGACATCGTTTCCATCATCTTGTTGGGCACCCATGCGCTGGATCTTCTCAAACACCTGACGCGCCTCCTGCACATACTGATCCTGGACAACAAGGGGCAACAGATCCTCCTCGGTGGGGCCTACCAGCAAGAGCTCGGAGGAGCTGGGCTTCAGAGTACTGGTGCGGGGCAGACGGCAGGCTGTGGGCTTCTCAGAGCAGGTAAATGACTTTGCCCTGCGCAAAGTGGCCGTTAAGTCCTTGAGTGTGGGACGGGTGCCAGGTGATGCTGGAACCGGAACAGGCATGGGTCCAAGTGGTCCCACAGGACCACTTGCTCCTGGTGAGTCTCTGCTATCCAGGGGGTCACTCTCAGGGTCCTCAGGTCTCTGGCCAGCCTTGCGGATCCTTAGCTCTGAAAGGTCTGAACGTAGGAAACTGAGCAGTGTCAGGGTCTCAGAGGCAATGTCTGGGTTTGACAGGGATTTCCTTTGCCTGGTTTTGTCCAGCTCTAATCCTCCTCCATCCCTCAATACCTTCGTGGTGCCCACAGGTCCCTTGGTACGAGTTCGAGCTTGGGACCGCAGGAGGAGCCCTTCCCCAGCTCCAAAGCTAGGGGAGCGGTATACACCCCAACCTCCAGGACCGCGGGTAGACCACAGGTCCTCATCCTTGAGAGTCTCTGTGCTGGGATAACGACTGCTGCCACGAGAGCCTGCAGGGCTGGCCAGGTATGCAGGAAAGCTCACCTTGGCCACTCGGAAAGTTCCCCCCACAGTGTCAAACTTGGACCGCAATCCTTCCTGAGGACCTGGAGTACAGGGTGGCGAGTCAGCACCCCACACCCGGGATTCCTCCTCGCTAGGAGCTCTTGGAGATGCTGGGGGCTCAGGGCTCCTGGCTCCCCCTACAGAGTCCATGCTGTCCAGACTTAACCCATCACGGTTTGGTCTGCTATCTCGGCCCAAGTGAGAGCTTCCAGGTCTGGGTCCCTGTTTCCTTCCCCAGCGGCGGGTGCCCTCACCGTTTCGGTCCTCGTCACTGCCCGAAGAGTGGCCACCGTGGTACGCGGGACTCTGCGCCCTGGTCGTCTTCGGCGGGGGGTCCTCTTCCTCTTCGCTGGAGCTGGCAGCCCGGTTGAGGCTGACAGGATAAGAGGAGGCGATGGAGGAGGAGGAGCAGGAGGCCCGAGCCCCGGTCTGCGGTAGGGAAAAGCTATGCCAAGAATGTAAACCATCCGCCGGACGCTGAGCCCGTTCCTGTAGCTGCTGCCGCCGCCTTCTTCCTTCGGTACCCGGCCCGGCCAGCGGCCGCCCTGAACGCAGGCCCGCCAGGGGAAAGCACGTCCGAGGAGGTGGCGTCGGTGGCTGCCGCGGCTCCCGACTCTGGAGCTCCCACGCTGCACCGTCGGGGCTGGGCGCCTCCGGGGCCTCGGAGTCGGCGCTGGGCCTCCGGGAGCCAGGGCCGCCGAAAAGCTTGCGCATCTCGGTGACGCTGGGCCAGGCCCCGCGCGCGGCGCCCTCGGCCGCTTCTTCCACCGCTCCTGGGGAGACGCCCCCGTCCCAGGCCTCGGCTGCGTCGTAGTCTAGACGAGGCGCGTCGAAGCGCCGAGAGAGCTGGCGCACCGACGGGGAGAGGCTGCGGAGCGGGCGCGGCTGCGCGGGGGCGGCCGGGGGCCCCGACGCCAGCTTGGACACGCGCCGGGAGGGCTGGCCCGGGCCGGTGGTGGCGGGCCGGCACGAGGCGCGGCGCCGCAGCCCGGGGGTGTCGGCGTCTTCCTCCTCCCTCGGCCCGGATCCGCCGCTCCAGCGCTCCAATAGCTTGAACGAGACGCTGCGATAGAGCGGGGGCCGGGGCGTCCCATCCGCCATGGTGGCGGCACTCACCCCGGGGGGGCTGGCCTCGAGAAGCCGCGGCCAACCCCCCCTGTGCTCCCGCCCCAAAGGAGCGCAGCGGCCGCCGTCCGAAGGCCTGGAATCCTGCACCCACGGCGCGCGGGGGCTCTGGGGGCAGGGCGCAGAGACCTAAACCGAGGTTTATCCACCCCAGCTCAAGTTTCTGCGGCCGCGGGTGGCGGCAGCTCCATCCCTTGAGGTTCCTCCCGCCTCAGCGCCTACCCTCGGGCCCGGCCCCCGCCTCGGCCGGCTCGACCCGGGGCATCGCGGCCAGTCTGGGCCCAGGCGGGATTCCGGCGCTCTGTTCTTCGGTTCGGCGCCCGACCGCCCACCGCCCGGCCTGCCACCCCTCACGCTCCCGCTCCAGTTCTCGCTGTGGCTCCCGCTCCCTCCCCCTTGGCTGCTAGCTCCACACTCGCTTTTGTTGCAAATAAACTTTGTGGCAGAGGAAAGGGGGCGGGGGGCGGGGCCTCGCGCCGAAAAGTAGGGGTGGGTTCCATCGCGCGCGTTGCTCGAAACGGAGGTGGGGGGTGGGGGTGTTTAGCGGGGAGGAGCCGAAGGAGAAATAGGACTGTTTGAGCACTGGCGGACCTAAGCGACCCTCCAAATGAGTCCCTCGGGAGCCCAGTGGGCCAAGCTGCCCCCAGGGTCTCGCTAGGACACTTGCAAACTCTGTGTTTGGTCAGTTATGGGGACACACAGACAGGGTGACGCACCCAGAACAGTTCATCCGCATTCGCGCGGAAACACCACTGAGGTAGGGGCACCAATATGGCAACTACAGACCCACAGACGCTCAAACAACAACACTCAGGTACAAGAAGAAACTCTCCGGGCTGGGAAAAGGGCGGGACCCGAGGCCGGGAGGAGCCTACGGCGCCGCGGGCACAATGGTGGACTAGCGGCTCCTTGCCCCGCCCCTTTACCCTGCCCAGGTCACGCCCTCTGCGGTATAATAAAGTGTTTGCCACGCCCCCTACCGCCCCTCGCTCCCCAACAGTCCCGCCCCGGTCTAGCAAAGCTCCCTTCCACCTTCGTCCGGCCAGTCCTGCTCTGACCTCCCTCCAACCCGCCGCACACCAATGCAGAGCTCAATCCTTTGTGGCCACGCCCCCTCCCACCCTTACTTTTCCAGTTGACCCGCCCAGGCCACGCCCCTCCATCGACCCAGTGGGGGTCTCGACACTCTTCTATGCGCCGCCCCTCACCATCTTTCTGCTGGGCTCGGAGTAACGCGGCCTGTGCCCCCTGCTGGCGGACTTTCCTAACTCGCGGAGCCACGAGCAAGTGAAGCAGCGAGACTTCATTTTCCTTTGGTCGTTTTATAGTCCTGTTTCATACCTAATTCCTTAGCTCCTTCTGCCGCACACACAGAAAGAGGATCGACTGGAACTCGCAAAACTTCCCACTACCGAGTCTACTCTCCTACCTGCGACTGCTATACCTTCTCCTTCGACCCAACCTTTGAGTTCCTCTCCCTCCCCTACCTAAATCGTCAGATTTAGGCTTTTTGTTCCGGATAGTGGGGGGGGGGGGGGGGTCATCCCCTTTGTAACTCCACTCCTTTGCTCAAACTGTTCCTCTGCCTGATCCTATTCATCCTCCTGCGTCCAACTTCAGTGTATCTATATCTGAGTGATTGCAAGATCGGTTTGAACCACAAGATGAGTGGTTCAAACTCACAAGTTGCTCCTCAGAAACCCTATACTTAGGCTTAACAACAACAACATATCTGAGTGAATGAATGAATGACAATGTATCTAGAGCCTGTAGTGTGTGGGTAATAACTTTTCAGTTATTTTATTTATTCATTGGAGACATATTATTTCCCCTTCTTTAAGTATCATGAAGGAAAAGTGACTGTGTCCTAACAACCGTGACTCATAGCAACCGTATGCACAGTGGAACGAAACACTGCCTGGTCCAGCGCCATCCTCACAACTGTTACATTTAAGCCCATTGCTACTGCCACTGTGTCAATCCATCTTTTTGGTGTCCTTTCTCTTTTTCACTGTCCTTCTACTTTACTAAGCATGATGTCCTCTAGGAACTGATCCCTTCAGGAACATATCCTAAGTATGAGACCATCCTAGCTTCTAAGGAACATTCTGGCTATACTTCCAAACAGATTTGTTTGTTCTTCTGGTAGTCCATAATACTTTTAATATTCTTTTCCAACACCATAATTCAAATGCATCAGTTCTATGGTATTCCTTACTCATTGTTCAACTTTTCAAACTTTCACATGCATTTGAGGCTACTGAAAAATACCATGGCTTGGGTCAGGTGAACCTTACTCCTCAAATTGACATTTTTGCTCTTGAACACTTTAAAGAAATCTTGTGTAGCATATTTGCTGAATGCAATATTTTATTTGATTTCTTGACTGCTGCTTCCATGAGTGTTGATAGTGGACCCGAGAAAAATGAAGTATTTGACAACTTGAATCTTTTCTCCGTTCATCATGATGTTATTTATTGGTCCAGTTATGAGGACCTTTGTTTTCCTTACAATAAAGTGCAATCCATACTGAAGGCTGTGGTATTTGATCTTCATCAGAATGTGTTTTAAGTACTCCTCACTTTCAGTAAGAAAGGTTGTATTATCCGCATATTGCATATGATGCCATGTTCTTCTTAATATAATCCAGTTTCTCAGCATATAGATTGAATAAGTATGGTGAAAGAATACAACCCTTTCCTGATTTTAAACCATTAAACATCTCTTTGTTCTGCTAGAATGACTGCCTCTTTTATTCTGTATAGGTTCCTCACAAGCACAATGAAGTGTTCCGGAATACCCATTCTTCACAATGTTATCCATTGCTTGTCATGAAACACACAACTGAAAGCATCTACATAATAAATAAAGCACAGGTAAATATCATTCTGGTATTGTAACAGTTAGGATTTTGTGGCAACTTGACTAGGCCAGGATTTCCAGAAGTTTGGCAGTGGATATGTGTTTATTCCCATGGTGATGAAACCTAATACAGGCATAGTCAACTCTGATGAGTGGCTATGAGCAAATAATCAATTAATGGGATGCTTCCTTGGATATGTAGCCTGCTCCCAATATAATTGACACTCAGGAAGGACTCTCTCTCTTTTCCGCTGGGACTCTGCAATTGTAAACGCTTTCCTTGAATAAACTTCTCTCTCTCTCTCTATCTATCTATACATATATATTGTTTGTTGTTGAGAGCTGTGGAGTCGGTTCTGACTCATAGCGACCCTGTGTAGGGTTTCCGAGGCTGTAAATCTTTCTGGGAGCAGAAAGCCTCATCTTTCTCCTGCAGAACAGCTGGTAGT